CATATTTGCGACGGGTCGACCGGGGAATACAACACCGCAGATCAGTTGGCAGATGAGGTAGATGCTGCTTTGTTGGTTTGTGATGGCCATGACGATGCCGATGGGGACGAAGAGGACTGCACCGATGCCAAGTGCTAGCAAAAGACCGTACCAGGGTAAGTGAACGGGATAGTACTCGACGACGAACATGCCAACAGCAGCCATACTAATACCAGTCAAAAGGTACCAGGTTATCGGTACGTCTTCGTATTTTCGCATGAGTCGATTGTGCACATCTTCCGCAGATAGCAGGTCTTCCACGTCTGGGTCTGAAGTTGTGCTGGGCCTGTGTCGCAACATTGCAGGCGAGGAGGGGTGGCTGTTGTTGTCGGTGCCATTCACAAGTGGCTGGTAGTCAGCTGCTGATTCTTTACGGATCTCGGCCCAAGAGCGACGCCATTGCCTCCAGATGTCCTTTCCGTACCAGAGGCCAGTGTGCGAAAGCAGAGCTGTAAGACCTGCGAACTGCAAGGCGTAGCTCAATACGTAAGTAATCGGAAGGTAGACGCGGCTGTATTGCTTGTACGCTTCTTCATCAAAGAGGAAGTTCTCGGTCAAGATCTTGCTGACGTCGTACGGCTTGCCGCGATTATCCCATACGGCGGATGATAGGATGGGCATGTATGAAGAATAGAGAACGTTCTTGTAGTCTACAACATGTCAGCACTAGTAGTCAAACGTCCGAAAGCTACTCACACATGATCGGCGCTGCAATCCACATCACGCCTACAAGGCCTCCAAGAATGTTCATAGCAGCCCAGAATGGTGTAATCAACGGGGAGCCGATGTATGCGATTTGCGCCCAATCGAAAGTCACTGGGAATAATCCAAGACCAGATGAGATTCCGAACTGTTCAGGTTAACACACTGTCTACTCAGACAAGCAACGAACGTACCAGGTTGGCAACAACAACGCTCTTTGGCGCGAACCAAGTGATGACATTGAAGTAACTCAATGCTGGGAATAGGAGACCAGGTAGGAAGTAGAATGCTACGGATCCCATGAATATGCGCGAGAAGAACTTGCGTGGAGCGATGGTCCAACCATCGGCAGGCTTGTTCTCATCTTTATGTAACGCGGTGAACATGGCGGTTGATACCAGTGTGCTCGGCCAGATCATGCCGCTGGGACGGACCAGGTAACGTCTGGTGATACCGGCAAGGGAATAGCCAAGTATTTGTGTGGAGAGGATAAGCAATACTTGGTACATGATGCCAAGGTCTTGCTTGTAGAACTTTACTTGCTCAACGATGACCTTGGATTGTCAGCGTACCACACATGGCTTCATAGCTGATACTTACATCTGTCGCAAAGGCAAAGCCGAAGGATACATTGCTGCTGACGTATACGCAGCAGTGTTCCTTTTCATTCCAACGACCTTGGCCTAGCCAGAGCCGTAACCGGCGTTTCCAAGTGGCTTTTGCCTGTGGAGGATGCGATGTTATTTGAGAGCAACCATCGACGAAGGTTTCTTCAGGATCGTCGTGTCGTTTGAAGAGTTGGTCCCAGAGCAGACCGAGGGGGTGGACGAGTAGTAGTGCAATAATAGGAGTAAGGCTGACGCTAGGGTATCGTAGGGAAAAGAACAAGTTGGTTGAAGAACCGGCAATGGAAAACAGAATCGATAGGAACCACATGCGCGGGGTATCAATGGATAGGGAGAGGTCGTCGGTAGCAGCGACGGATGCCCTCACTTGAGCGTAGGGCGAATTATCGGACGGGCTACCCTTCATATCGTGTAAATCGTCGTCCTCGGAGGATTCATTATCGTCTAGCGTACTGCTCGATGAGGTTGAGTTGTCAAACAGTGGCGCGCCAGCGGTAGAAGGATCAAGACCGCTTGCGTTGAACCTAGCTTCAAAGTCCTGGCCACTAGAGGCTACACCGAGCGTCGTGCTGCTACGACTGGCGTCACCCGTCCTGCGACGTGACTTGGTAGCGCCTGAAAGGATTGGCTCACTCCGTGTCGAATCATTTTGGTGGTGATCCGAAAGTAGTGAGGGTTCACTATGCGAAAGTCTGCTCTTCCCTTTTTTCTTTCTTGAGTTTTTAATCACATTATTTTCATCAGATTCCTCTGGACTGGAGGAAAGAATAGGTAGGCCGCCATATGAACCTGAGGTTGGGGTCAGCACGTGTAGCGAATGAGGTTCTGTGCGCCGTGTGCATCGTTGCTCCTGTGCACCCGTCCAAGGCCGAGGGGCGATTGACGACCATGGCGCTTGACAAGGAAGAATAGTTTGCGTACCTGTTCCCTGCGCCGGGCTCGATCTCACCAAGAGAGGTACTCTTGACATTGCTGTCTTGACGGATCGTGTAGGAGTCTCGGGGCGGCCAGCTGGCGAATCAAGATCGTCATCAGAAGGGGTTTCGGACGTGGCTATGTTCCTTGCTTTCTTTGCTTTGTCAGGCAGAGGCTGCAACTCGTAGCTGCCTGGCGAGACGAGAGGACGGTCGTGTCGCGTGTTTCCAGAAGGATGGGCAGGCGAGAGAGTAAGCGACGAAGATGACCCGCACCCGTCCTCGTTAGCCATATGTATGGGTGGGTGCCCGGGTGTGGCCAGGGGCGCGTGTACAAGTGCTCCGTTTGTCGCGCCAAAGCGGCCTCGCGCGACGTCGGAATCAGATGATCAGATAAAACCACCGGCAGCCATGTGTTGGGCCTCACGCTGTTCGATGATCTGATTAGATGGAAGCGCGGGAAGCGGTCCAGAATTAGGTCAATGATGGAATACTGCTTGAGTCATCCAATGGCGAGTGCAGTGTCTTCACGGTAAGCGGTTAGATCCGGGCGACGATGTGGAGTTCCCAGGAAAAAAGCCTCGCACGCTCCCGCGCGCGCGAGCCGCCTGCATACCATCACACGCCTGCATGCTTCAAAATCCCGGCACCCTTACAGACCAAGACTGATTGACATCTGCACGTCCGAGCGAACAGAGCCGCAGCGTTTGCATTCGGAGTTTTACATATTTCTACGGGTTCCCAACGCTCAGCGTGACGTCACCTCCTTCACGTCAACGTGACCGGGTATCCCCACGTGGTTTTCGGCTTTGCGACCAGCGGTGAGGCCCTCAACCATCGCAATAGCGCCCTCGGTGTCGTCCTTGTTGTAGAGGAACAACCCCTGTAGCGCTGCAGTACTCACCGAGTCGATGAGGCCCAACTCCCTCACTCTAGCCATAAATCTCTGCTTCGCTTGCCCGCCTGCATCGAACTCTGCATAGAATCGGTCCCAAAGCTGCTCGATTTGGAACTCTGTTGCTTCACCGAGTCTTACCGTCATGTCCACGCGCCCAGGTCGGATGAGCGCTTCGTCTAGTCTTTCGACGTGGTTTGTAGTCAGGAAGATGATCCGCTCTTCGGCACTGGCAACACCGTCGAGGGCGTTGAGCAGCCCGGAGAAGGTGACCGAGGCGCTAGCAAATCCGTCTGCACCAGGCGTCTTACGGTTCATGAATGCGACGTCAACATCTTCCAGCAGCACTACAGTCCGTCGCGGGACTTTGGTCAGCAGATGGTTCAACCTATCGTCTGTGAGACCACGCTCGCTGACATTCAAGATGGCAATGTTGAAGTCAAGATGACCTGCAACAGCCTGGATGAAGGAACTCTTTCCTGTGCCTGGCGGCCCATACAACAAGTAGCCTCGCCTGTATGGTATGCCGCGATCTAGGTACCACTTGCGTGACGCAATGAAGGCCTCCATATCCTCTACAATGCGCTCCTTGACGCCGCGCTCAAGGACCACCGAATCGAGGGGCCGCTTCCGCTTGGCGTCGCCAAAGGGCTGCCACATGGTGCCCATGGAGTTGTATATGACAGTCTTGCCCTCCTGCGACTGCTGGTATATCTGGTGCGCCTCGGCGAAGATGTCTTCGAAGACGTCGCGGTGCGAGTAGAGGGTCGTGAGGTTGATCGTCTCGAAGGGCACGCCATCCTTGACGTTCAGGCTGTTGCGCTCCCGCTGCCTGTCGACGAGTATGAAAGCATTGTTGTAGCGCAAGAAGTGCTTGCCCGGCCCCGGTACGAAGGAGAAGTGGGCGGCGTGCGAGGGCCCATCTTGCGGCGTGTACGTCTGCACCTGGAGGTGGTGCATGCGCGGGTCGATGCGATTGAGGACCTTGGAGAGGACGCCGTTGCGCACGAGTGGCCTGGTGCCGGCTTGCTGAGCGCGGTGGTAGTTGGTCATCCATTGGAGGACCCAGGGATAGGCGTCGTCATGGCGAGTTATTTCGAGATCGACGAGCATGCGGCGGCGCACAAACGCGGCGCCGTGTTGGAGTCCCTTCTGGCCCGTCCGCGCCGCAACCCCAAGCGCTGCGAGACCGAAGCCCTATGGCATCAGTGAGCACACGTCCAGCAAGCATGCAGCGGCCCCAGGGTGAATCATACGGCGGTGAAGAAGGGATTGTCGGTGATTTGCGACCAGGGCGAGCTGAGACCCGGGCTGCTATTGCCGGCAGCGATCTGCTTGGCCAGCTGGTGTTGAGGCGTGTTCGGTTCCATGAGCGGCGGAGAGGCGCGCCTGTCCAGAAATTTGATACGCCATGGACGCTAGCGGGGGATCGATGCCGCTACGCCGCGCCCATTCGTGCCTATCACCATGTCGCACGCAACCGATGGGTGTCGCACAGCGCTTGTTTGCAACGTGGAAGGTTGGTCGACGTATTTTCGTCACACCATCAGGGAGTTGTGCAAACGGCGCAAAAAAAGAAACATAGACGTTGATAATGCTGTATACACAGATGCACAGGGCTGCATAAGCAATCCGGGGTCGCGTCGCGGAAGGCCATCCATGGCGCCTTCCCAGCCCTGTGGAGTTGTGGAGCGCTAGGGCGAGCTTGGGCCTGCTGCCCGTCACTGATAACTACCATCCTGCCCAATTCACTGATCAACACCCCGAAAGCACGTTGCGAAGCCATCCTCGGCCCCGAGCACCGCGCTCTTCTTCACCTATGCCATGGCCACCGTAACCATAGGCAAATCCTATTTCGACGCTCTTCTACGCAAGTGAGTGCTCACTATCTTGCCCTGTGTTATGCGCCGGGCTGTTTGCTGATTAGAGTTTTAGGGCTGAATTTGTCTGTACCCCCCCAGGCAGTAGCTATGTGTCTGGCTTCGGTAGAGCTGACTCTTATCAACAGCATACTTCCAACCAGCCTGTCAGCTACGGCACTGATCTCTCTGACAATGTCACCATTAGCAAGGCAGAACATGAGTACATGGTACGTTTTATTCACCCAACATAACTCTAAACTTTCGAACTTTATCCACCAGCCCTCCAGCTCGCTCTGGCTCCTGCTTGTAGGTGCAAAAATGCTAACGATACATTTGCCCATAGACCCAAGCAGTGCGAGAGTACCGTACGTACACTCCTGCTCAAGCGCAATACTATTCCTCTCTGACCGTGTCTAGACCTTCTCAAAAGCGCTCTATTCCGTGGAGGCCTGACGAACGAGACCCTGGATACACTGCTGCAGGGCGAGAATGGGGCTTCGAACGAAGAACCGTCTAGTTACGATTATGAATCGCAACACGCAAATACAAGATTGCAGGCTACTCCTGTAGCAGCGCCTACGTCAGCTCGCTACCCAAAAGAGTCCGACTATACCTCTGCCAGCCACGGACTCCACCCTAGACCTTCAGCATCGTTCCGTCGAGTCGTCAGCTATGGGGAATCCGAGTCTTTCACCGGCGACCCAGACAGCCCACCCGACGAATATGACGATATAAACCGTGGATCAGCCCAGCGTATACCGCTCCACGATCAACGCACTGTGCTAATCACCAACCTTTCTGAGCGTACGACACATAAGGACCTGGCCGGCATTGTCCGTGGCGGCAGACTGCTGGACATATTCCTCCGCAATGACCGATCTGCAACGGTATCCTTCATTGAAGGAGCTGCCGACTTCCTTGCTTATGCTAAGCGTAATGACATATATCTGCACATGAAGAGGGTGAGATATGCACCTACCCCAAGGCATGAAAGAAGCTGACCATGCCAGCTTGAATTCCGTTGGAGCGACCGACAATTCCACGTACCACCGCACGTGTCCAACAAGATCGCCGGCGGCGCTACGCGAAACCTTGTTGTCCGAGGCGTTGCAGGCAAGGTCACTACAGATCAGATCCGTGACCATCTCGATCACATCCACAACCTCATCGTGGTAGACGTCTACTTCAAAAATGGCGATGCGTACATCTCGACCAACTCTATCCACAACGCTCTGTTCGCCAGGACCTGCATGATGTCGCGTACTGTATACAAGGGCATGCGCATCGAGTACTATCCGGATGAATGCGCTGGACCGCTACCTCAGCCCAAAAAGGCCCACACTCCCGTCACTCGCATGCCTATGAAGCCTGCACCTGTGGTCAACCAGTATGCTCTTCTGGATACCGGCTCCGACGATGGGTCAGAGTCTGAAGAGGAGTTGTACAGGACCAACGGTGTGCAAGTCGATGGTTACCATTGGGCTGACAGTGTAGTAGCATGAACATTACCGATGGAGGTTCATCGCCTGTCAGAGCTCGGCCCATTCCCTGGGGTCGGCGAGGGGTTACAGTAACTTGATCCGGCCTTTCTGTTCTATCAAGTTTCTTCGCGTTGCGGCACTTTTCAAAGCGAGCTAAGGAATGTTCCACCTATACGGCTACATTCTTCATGCGAAGTGAGGGAAGCCACGAGTGAAGTCGTGGCGATCAGAATGATAATATGGGTATGTTTACGAGAAGAAGCTCGTGTCGTACAGCTCTCGACAGGTGTTGGTTGGAGTATGCTTCTTTTCCTATATAGATACCCCTCGGCTACGCTGGAATGTGATTATTTTACTTACAACACATCGATGCCGTCACGCTTGAAGGAGATGTCCATGATCAGCGTTCTGCCGGGATGATGAACTTGCTCACCCCTGGACAGAAAGCTTGTCAATTTTAGCGAGCACTAGTCTTGCATCGATGCACATGCGTCAGCTATGTCATACGCCTTTGATTATCCTCACTTCGTAGATCACAACTTCACCACAGACATCATCTTGACTTTGTTGATCTATATCAACAAACTTTGTTGAATTAAGATGGCGCCGACGATCAAAGTTGCTGTTATCCAACTCTACCCAGAGGTATCTCCTCTACCCCACATCATCATGATTGCCCGTTATGGTCGACCACATTCACAAACATCAGAGTCATTTGCTAACACTAGCTAGCCCCTACAACCAGAGCACAATTTCAAGAAAGCCGTTTCTTTCATCCGCTCAGCAGCAGCTCAGGGTGCCGAGCTCGCCGTCCTCCCCGAATACCACTTGACAAGCTGGAAGCCAAATGATCCCGAGTTCCTAAACTGCATCGAACAATGCTCCGGCTACCTAGAGAAATACTGCTCCCTAGCCAAAGAATGTAACATCTGTAAGTATCACTCCAGCCCTCATCGATCCTCCACACAAACCCCTAATTCTGAATGACCACCACCCTAGCCATCGTCCCCGGCACGATCGTAGAACCCCACAAAGAGAACTCTGCAGCGGAAGACAAACTACTCAACGTATGCTACTATATCTCGCCCTCGGGTTCCATCGTGGGCAAATACATCAAAAAGAACCTCTGGGGCCCTGAACGCAACCACCTCACCGGCTCCCGCCACGACCCCCACGAAGTCTTCGACACGCCCATCGGAAAAGTCGGATTGCTAATATGCTGGGATCTCGCTTTCCCAGAAGCGTTCCGCGAGTTGATTGCCAAAGGCGCTCAGATTATTATTATACCGACCTTCTGGACGCTCAACGATTGCAACGAAGCGGGCCTTGCGAGGAATCCGGCGGCTGAAGCATTGTTTCTGGATTCCATGTTGACAGCACGGGCGTTTGAGAACACTTGTGCGGTTGTTTTTGCGAATGCGGGGGGTCCACCGGGGATGGGGTATGCGGGGTTGAGTCAGGTTGCTGTGCCTTTTGTGGGGGCTTTGGGGAAGTTGGGTGGTGCAGGCGAGGGCATGTGTGTTGTGGATTTGGATATGCAGGTCTTGGAGGATGCGGAGAGTAATTATCAGGTTAGAGCTGATATTGCGAGGGGGGATTGGCATTATGTTTATCGGCATTCAGGAGAGGGAAAGCCTTGAGGGGGGATGTGGCGCATCAGCATGACATCTTTGTATTGTCTTCAGCATCATGTTCGATAGGTATAGGATGTATGCTCGGGAAAGCACTAGTCTCGATCTGGACATTCTTTGCTGCGGGTTTCGATCGAGGGTGTAAAGTTCAATAAACGAAATGTATTCCATTTGGTCAATTCAATTTACTCTCGGCCAACATCGGGCTCCTCCAAATGCGCCCAAAAGTCGCAAATTCGCAAAGACATGGTATCTGACAAAAAGTTCGCGGAAGCAACCGGTGAACTCCTACGCGCAGCGCGAACGGGTGCCTAGTAGCGCGCAGCGCCAGCCCCTCTCCCAAACTATTGAACGCCGATCAGTATGGCCAGAAGCTCGATTCACCACCATGGCACCATCTTCCTGCGCCTAACGCAGATGTCTCGACTCAATCGCATGCTGGGCGTCGACTGGTATCTCCGGGTCGCATGTCGGCATCCGTCTCTCATCTCAGCTCTGGCCACTACCACTGGCTTCGCTGTCGGACCTCTCGTCTTTGCGGATGTAGCCTATTTCTCTCGTCGAGACGCCGTGTTCGTCCGTACTCCAAGTCTCGCCAACGACAATGACCCTCGTTTTCCCTGTTTCCAAAAACTTTTCCTCGTCTCTCGCTAGCTTGGCTGCATTCTCCGGGGCGTAGATTCTTCGGTAGAATTCTTGGAAGCGGGCTTCGCTGTCAAACGTCATTTCTGCAATGCAGTCACAGTCCAGCTCGTTCATCTCGCCCCTTAGCATCAGCGGCGGTCGGTCGGGATTTGCCGGTCCTCCGAACCCCTTCCGCGATATCCGCGCGAGATAGCGACGTTTGAAATCGATCGGCCAGCAGGAGGCGAGCAGCGAATGGGCGAGGGGAATGTGCGTGTGCTCATAGTGGTCTCTGAACTCTTCCGAGGTAAGGTCGTGGTTGCGCGTGATGAAGAGGACGATGGTGTACGTCATGTTGGAGGGTGGGACGACAATATGGGTAGCGTGGGTGGTAAAGACAGTAGTAGGGTTCTGACAGCGGCGTGGCTTCCAGAGGGTCTAGAGACAGAGGAACGGCAGGCTTTTGTAGTTTATCAGCCACACTCGATGCGAAGACATCATACTGGCACCGGGCGCGCCTAAAGCCTCCGTTATTGATGCACACAGCTACTCGTGCCCTAGGGCGAAACTACGGACCCGGCACCGGCAGACGACATGGGCTCGCCATACTTTCTCAACGCCGTCACGATACCCAGCGCTGAGGAAATGGCCGGTGAGTCGAATCAGGGCGTGTCAAAACAGCAGGAAGGCCGTGAGGATTGAGTGGAGTGGACCTCTGCGCACTGCCCCTCACAGCGCTGATCCCGGTCGCGCCTGCCTGTGCCCTCTGCTTGGGCGCGCTATCGATAGCAGACTGCCGCTAGCAAACGCACAGAACGCCAAATTTCGTGACAAAGCGGGGAGCAGCACCACGACACGACATTCACCCCCCGTACAAGCACCCGTGCCGTCGCCCGAACGAACACCCAACATGAGTCTGCGCGAGCGTGTCCCGCCGCAGTACCAGAATGGCGACGCTGCCAGGCGTGCGCCGGACGACGACTCGGACGTCGAGGAGGAGGCCATGGCGAACGACTACCGCGAGCAGGTCCAATACGACGGCATGGAGGACCTCGACCGCATGCCCTCGATGAACAGCAACCAGGACATCCACGCGCAACTGCAGGCCGCGGCCACGCCCCTGGAATTCCAGGCCACGCTCGAGACCAAGTTTGCGAGTTACGACAGCTACTGCAACCTCTTCCACTACATCCTGAACTCCGAGGGCCCCGTTGACCTGGAAGTGCCAAACGTAAGGAATAAGGAAATAAGGGGAATATAGCAGGGCTAATTGCGCATAGTACTACTGGGCGTGGGATGTCATCGACGAGTTCATCTACCAGTTCAACAGCTTCTGCAGCTACCGCCAACGAGTCGCCCAGAAGAACGAGAACGAGGAGGAGATTGCGCTCCTGCGCGAGAACCCAAACACATGGGGCTGCTACAGCGTCCTCAACGTCCTGTACTCGCTCATCCAGCGGTCACAGATCAGCGAGCAGCTGGCGGCGATGAAGCGGGGCGAGGACGCGAGTCTGTATGCCGGAGAGTACGGCAACAGGCCGCTATACAAGATGCTGGGATACTTCTCCATCATCGGTCTGCTCCGCGTGCACTGCTTGCTCGGAGACTTCAGCCTCGCGCTCAAGACGCTCGACGACATTGAGCTCAACAAGAAGGCCATGTTCGCCCGTGTCATGGCCGCCCACTTCACCACATACTACTACGTCGGATTCTCCTACATGATGATGCGACGATACTCGGATGCCATCCGCATGTTCAGCCACATCCTCGTCTACGTCTCGCGGACAAAGAACTTCCAGAAGAACGCGCAGTACGATTCGATTACCAAGAAGAACGACCAAATGTACGCACTTGTCGCCATCTGCGTAGCCTTCCAGCCCACCAGGCTCGACGACACCATCCACACTGCTCTGAGGGAGAAGTACGGCGAGCAGTTCAACAGGCTGCAGCGCGGCGGCCCCGAGTCTCTTCCCCTCTTTGAGGAGCTCTTCCGCACTGCCTGCCCCAAGTTCATCAGCCCCACACCTCCCGACTTCGACAACCCAGAGGTCAACATTGACCCTGTTGAGCACCACCTCCGCATCTTTATGGACGAGGTCAAGAACAACATGATGTCGCCCACCGTCAAGAGCTACCTCAAGCTCTACACAACCATGGACCTCAAGAAGCTCGCTGGATTCTTGGAGGTTGAGCCAGAGAAGCTGAGGTGCTGGTTGCTCGTCAACAAGCAGAGGAGCAGGCAAATAAGGTGGGCCGAGGGTGGTCTATTGGATGGTGATATTATCCAGGCCAGCGACCTCGACTACGCCATGGAGGGTGTAAGTACAACACATCTGGAACGAGAGACATCTGCTAACAATTACCAGGACCTCATCCACGTTTCAGAGGCAAAGGTCGGCAGGAGGCTCGTGGACTGGTACCTCCGCAACTTGGCCAGGACGTACTAGAGGATCACGAGTGTTTTCTGAGAGCGACTATTCACATTCGGGGCCCACACAATAGAGCATTGCGCTTGGAGTTGGAGGATTTCATGGGTATCCAAAAGCGTGTTTGCAAAATCTAAAGATACGCTTAGGCATGGGGAAGGCGAAGATAGGGTCCAGGTCGTGATCTTCCACGACTGGACACCGCCCGCCGTGCGCGACGAGCGGGCCGGAGGATGGACAGGATGAGCGAACGAGCAATGAGCTGAAGAATACCAAACAAACTTGCAGACTTCAAACACATATCAATAAGTGGACGCGACGTGGATGTGTGAATGTTGGTAACTTCAGCTTGACATCGTCACATCGTGTGGGGAAACAAGGGTTCAGCCTTCGTAGCAGACTGGTAGATGCTAGCGCATTGAGTGGACATGGCTGCTCTGCCGTAATCTTCGCTTCTGTCCGACCAACACCATCCAAACGATCATTGATAGCAATTCCGGTTAAAGCGCATCGTTCGGAGCAAGCACGTCCGGAATGATCATGCCCGCGATGGAGTGAATGTCCCTGCCCCTCTCGGTCGCTCGTGCGCTCCGCTGATGCACTTTCCTCTCATCCACCGTACTCGGAACCACCACAACAACGCCCAGTAACTGAGATCAGTCTCGCCTCCACAATTAGCCACCAGCTGCTTCTTCGATAAACATTCCAAAACAGCGCGTCTCCTACGGGTCATCAACGCCTCCACGTCCACCACACCCAGCGCGACTCGCACCCAGACAAGCAAGATGGCCCCGGATCTGAACAAGGTGCCGACCAACACAGGCAACACGTCGAGCACGCAGCCAGCTTCAGGCTCCTTGTCACGTCAGACATCGTCACGTCAGGCATCTACACCGGGCTCTAGGCGAGCATCGCAGATGGGCCCCCCGCCGCTGCCTCTCGCATCGCCTGGTGGTACCCTACCACCGCCCCAGTCAGCATCACATCATGTACATGGCTTTCCGCCTCTCAGCCCCAGCGCGAGCGGCTACGTCCAGGCGAGCGTCGACTCAGCAGGCGTTCCCATGAGACACCCACGCCCCATGACACAAGCAGAGCTGCACCTTGAGCTCGAGAAGGAGCAAGAAGCCGTCGTCAACCGTCTGACGCGAGAACTCTCGGCTCTACGCGCACACTCTGCGTCTGTAGCCTCCAACACGTCCATGTCAAGCGCCGCCGACTCCTCCGTCGCACACGCTGAAGCTCCCACCGGACCTATGCATCCCACATCCTCGCGCCGCCACCGCAGCTCCTCAAGCGTCTCCCGCAGCGGCCTACCACCAGGCCACGTTCCACACCGTTACTCCATCTCCTCCCAGCCTGCGGCGAGCGATGCTGCCCAGCGCGACCACCGCAGCTCGAGCGTCGTCAGCACTCCACGCTACGAAGAGGTGGCACAACACAAGGCGGAGCTGGAGGAAGTCAAAAAGGAAAACGAGGCCTTGAAACAGCGCATCCGTGATCTCGAGCGCATGATCAGGGGCGGTAATGACGCCGCTGACGGTCAGAGGGGTAGGAGGGGTGCACCGCAGTCGCAGAGCAGCGGGGTTGGCAGTGCTTCTGATACTGTGCAAGCAGCTGCTAATGAGACCGCAGGGGTCCCCTAATAAAGCTGTGAATAGGGTGAAGGAGATGTGTTCGTAGGGTGTTCGTGAGAAGTATTGTTAATAGCGCACGCCAGGCTCGTGATGCATGAGCGATGGGATGGAACAGGATTGTTTCCGCCATATCTTTACTTGTCGACATGGAGTTTGAGCAGTCAGGCATGGTATGCTATGCCAATCGGCATCCATACGAGCGGACATTTTATTCTAATTCTATCATTCTCATCAATCAATCAATCAATTAATCGATCAATCAAGCTAAACAAAAGTCTACTTTTGATGCCATCGCAAAGATAACAACCCCGATTCCCCTTTACTCCGCCCATTACCACCCTTATCACAAACTTTGCTTCTTTCCCCCCAACACGGCATGACGGGATATCCGTAGATCCATCCAGGGCTAGACAACTAACGCCGCTGATCCTCACGATATGCACCTAACGGAACAGCATCCCAGCGTCGATCTCGTTGTCCCCTTCTGACGGCAGATCAGCGACGCGGGATGGCAGATGCAAAGAGGGGGAAGAGTGATACACGTAAGTGTAGGACACATTTGTGGCGTGATGTAAGAGAGCTTGGATGGGTGTCTTTAATGCCTCGTTTTTGGAGTGTCGTGACGTGATGTGATGTGGTGGAAGGGACGAGGCGCCACGGCACGGGCGAGGGCATGGGGGCGTGTAAAGTAAGCAGATAAGCAAGTAAGAGTAAGAGTAAGGCGCCCGCGATACGTCATTTTGTTTGAAGGTGGAACAGAACAGCTTTCAACCTTTAATGGGGGCGGACTGGCTTCGGTCGGGGCATTTCGGGGTCGGGATATATACTGAGAGTGTGGAGCATCCATCAACTTTCGTTGCGTTTCGTGGTTGATTTATTGAGTTTACGGATCTTGAGAGATTGCATATATATTATTGCGCAAGGCTGCTGCTGTTACTACTACCAGGTACGATTTAAATTGTCTTCGAAATCCAGACGATCATGTTTGTTAAGAAATCAGGAACAGAACACCTACTTTCCGAGCCATCCTACAATATGAACTGGCTGTTCAACCTACGCGATAAATTGACTGGCAGCTTCGAGAAGAGGCGGAGGAGTAGCCAACACGTCGATGCCGGAAGCGATGGTATGTACATGGATAACATATCCCGGCCGATGTAATATCTAGACTTGGAGAATTGTGTATCGACATGCTAACAGCATATTCAGCTTTTCCATCGAAACCAGTAGAGACAACGCCTACAAAGACAACGACGACGGAGCATAATCCCTCACCTCACCGTCGTGCTTCCGCCTCCCCACCCCCACCCCCATCATCCAACCCTTCTACCATATCCTCCGCACCACAACGACCGCCCCTCCCACATATACCCACCGATATCATCACCGCAACGGAGAAAGGCATGATAGGCGCCCCCTTCTGCAGCATACCGAGTGACTCGTCCACGACGTCGAGCCAGGGTCATGAGTCTGAAGCGAGAGATGTGGTAGGGGAGGGGACGTTGCTGACGAGGGCGGAGGAGGCGTGTGGTGGGGAGGGGAGGAAGAGTAGTTGGGTCGGTGGAGATAGGGAGGGTGGGAGGTGTGTTATGTTTAAGGGGGTTGATGTTTAGCTATACGGAGAGATATGAGGTAGGCGTTCTGATTCGAGGCGTACACACTGGAACTGGATCTTTGAGTGGGATGGCTGTACGATAACGTTGAGGTCTTGATTGAGAGACGTTCTTCCTGTCTCAGTTTTACAAATTGAAAGGATAACTTCCCTTCCTGTCTTTCCAACTCTTAGCTGCCCCAATTCATGAACATCTTAAAGCGCGCAAACGTATAAACAAATGCCATCACAGTCCCCTAAGCCTCTCCTCAAACCCTCCTACTACCAGTCATCTTCCTATTCTCACTATGCCGCTTCGCCTTCAACGCATCCCGTCTCCTCTTCTTCCACGCACGATTCAAATCACCCCGATTCTCCCAGAACCACTTCTTGAACTCGCTCTCGGGCTTCTCCTCTTTACCACCCGCGGCTGCTGCATTCTCTTCCTCTTCCTCTTCGTCTTCTTCCGCGACCTCAGCTAGCTTGGCTTTGGCATTTGCGCGCGTGTTCTGAGATAGGCGTTGCTCGGCGAGGGAGTCAACGTCGCCCATGTCCTCGTCGTCGTCGGCTTCTTGGCTGTTCTTGCGCCAGTCGAAGGAGAAGCGGCGGCCGAGGCCGGCGGTGTCGGGGGTTGGTGCTGCGCTGCGGAGGCCGCGCCATTCAATGTCTCGTTGAGTGAAGGGGGTAGTGGGGGCTTCGTCGATGGGTTGTCCGCGCTCGCCGTCGACTTCCATTGTGTCTTCGTTGTTGTCGAAGAAGCTGAAGGATGTGTCGATTGGAGTGAGCTTCTTGGTGGGAGTTGAGGTTGTGCCATCTGCGGGCTTTGCGCGTTTGAACAGCGCTTCGAGGGGGTGGACCTCTTTCTCGGATGATGTAGTTGGTTGGACTTCAGGCGTTTTCCTGCTTTCGACAGGTCGAGCGGGAGATGATGCAGATGATTCGGCCTCTGATTCTGACTCCAATTCCGACTCAGACTCGGAAGAGTCCTCATCTTCAGAAGAAGACGAAACTACTGATGAATCGTCGTCTTCGGACTCAGATTCAGATGGCGGAGGAGTAGCTTTCTTCTTCTTCTTATCCTTCGTAGTCGCAGGCGTGGATGATTTGCCTGTGCCGTCGATCCAGGCTCTTTGAGCCTCTGAGGGCGCGTCTACGAGCTCCAGGGCTCGCCTAGCCTTGGCCTTGCCAGTCTCAGGCTCAACAACGACACCATCCTCGTCGACCCAGCCCTGACCATTGACATAGTCGACTGCAGGCTTCGTTGACAGGGCGACCTGTGGCTGCTTCAGGAAGCTGGGAGTCTTGATGTTCTTCTCAAACTCATGAACAACGACTTCATTTATCTTTGACTTGTTCTTTTCCTTTTTCTCCTTCTTCACCTTCTTCTCGTCCTTGTGCGCAACTTCAGTTGCAGCCACGGGTGTCAGCTTCGCCTTGAAGAGCAGCTCAGCATCCTTGGTGTACTTTGAAGGCTTCCGCTCCTTCTTCTCGTCCTTCTCACGCTTGTCCTTTTTGTCTTTCTTATCCTTCTTATCCTTCCTGTCCTTCTTCGACGGCTCAGTCCAACCGCGCTTAACTTTCCTGTCGTCTGGCAGCTCTACACCTTCCAGCACGCCCTGCTCCCTCTTCTTCTTCTCTTTCTTCTCCTTCTTTTCTTTTTTCTCCTTCTTCGCGCGCTTCGAGGGGCGTTCGGTATCCGCCACCTCCTTCGCCGCGTCAGCCTCTGCCAGAGCTTTGCGCTTCTCAGGTTTCGCCATCTCTATCCGCACTTTTGCGCCTCTCAGGATTGTGCCGTTGAGCTTCTTCTTGATCTTTTGAGCTTCGGGTTCGGGTAGCTCTACGTAGCCGAAACCTTTCTCGGGGAAGGTCGCGACGGTATGGTACGAGATATTCTGCGCAGAGGGAAGGACAGACGGCGCGACGTAGACCTTGAGCAGGTCGGGGCGGAAAGGCGTAATATGCAGGCGGACGACCTTGCTTTCGGGTTGCGCTTCGGAAGAGTTAGGCGCTTGTGCTGCTGGCATTGGGTCGCAGGTTCGCGCGCGTGCGACAGGTGGAGATGACTGTGCGCAAAGACTCCAGGGCGTCTAGAGCAAATAATACGGGCTGCAAGCTTGAGCGACGCCTGTAAGCGTCGTGTAGAAGTGTCGGGGCCGGAGGGGAAAGGAAAATGCTTAGCGCGACAAGGGACCCAGCTGTCTGGCTTAGCGTGCATGCGGGCGGAGGTTTGGAGCTCCACTGTGACCATTATCATGTTCATCGCGCGATAGACGTCTAGAATCACATCAGATTGACATCTTGTTGGTACTGCAATTGGTCCTTCGCTTGTACAGACTCAACACAATATCTCTCCTGGTCACCACCACGATGCGGAAACCGCCATACCTGCTCTTCCTTCTCCTGACCTTTCTATCCTCCCTCTCCCTGTCCCTTGCAGCCTGTACGTCACCCTTTTCTTCGTCCCCAGGCAATTACTGACATCTCATAGCGCGTACGTCATTCTGCAAATGCACCTGCAAAGGCAATAGTACCATCATAGCCCTCGACGCGCCCAGCACGAAGAAGCCCGCCGCCCTCGAATTGAAACCCCGCGCCTCCAAGAAGACATGTAACGATTGCACCCGCCAATTCTGCCTAGGTTATGGCGTCTGCGCAGGAGAGAAAGAGGAGAACGTGCTTACAACATGCTTCCAGAGAGATTCTGCCAAAGACCAGGCAGTTGTGTTTGTCTTCATTGGAGCGACAGTGGGGTTATTGGGGTGGGCGGCGTTGCGGCCTTATGTCGAGGGATGGAGAGAGGTACGTGTAGATGAGCGAGGCCGACTTGATCGGGAACTGACTGGAAACAGCGTGCACGGGAGCGTCGGAGCTATATACCAGTGGCTGGTCAAGGGAACTAGCGAGTTGCAAGACTGGAAATCGTTTGAAAATGCGTTGAATGTACAATATGGACACGAAGCGAAGATACCCAAGATGATCGTTGACTCCTTCATAACTGCTGAAGAACTCCATCATGCATACATCTAATGTGACAGCAATGTACAGGCTGAGGTCGTATATAGTACACTGAAGCGTCTGGCTTCACTCTCCGCTGTCCTTCCTCTACTCTTTCTTCGATCCACCCTTCATGAATCCAAACCATCCCTTGCCCGTCTCCTCCACCTTGTGCACTGCCTTCTCTGCTGTATTGTCGAGCGGGCCTCCGACCACTGGTGTCGATGATGTGAAGGTGGATGTTGTGTCGTTCGCCCTGGCCTCTTGTACCGCAGCAGCGATACCTAGGTTTGAGTTGCCTTGGGATTCTTGCCGCTTAATCTCCTCCACCGCCAGCTTTCTCTGCTCTGCGATTGCTTGGTCCTCCTTCCAGTCGCCGTGCAGCCACCACAGCAGCTTGGAGGGCGCCTTTCGCTCTGCCTTCTTCCTCTCCATTGCTTCTTGCTCCTCGGCGATACCTGTGACAAGAGCGGCTTGTGCGGGTGAGGCTGTTCCTGCTGCGACAGCATTGCGGGCGGCTTCGAGGATCCTAGCCTGGACTCGTTCCTCTTCGGCGAAGTAGATTGCTCGTTTCCGTCGGTTGTAGACGATCATGTCGCCTATTGAGAAGACTGCGAGGACACCGACGCAACCTGTTCAGACAGTTAGCATCATCCCTACCCAATGACTAGTGCAGCCATTGGCTCTTCGTGTGCCCACATACCCGTTGCAAATATCAAGCCGTAGACGGTAAATCTATGCGCCGCATCCGCCGCCATTCTGCCGTACAAGTACATGTAATCCCACCTCGTCACCTGCGCCATCTTTGCCCTGTTCGCTGCCTCTCGTAACCGCTTGACCTTCTGTTGTGGCGTTTCGTTTTTCGGTGCGGGATCCGCGAATTGCAGCGTCGTTGCCCGCCCGCCAGGTCTTGTGTGCGCCCATACTCCGGTGGCTGTAAATCGCGTTGACTCTTTCGGTGATTTCGACATGGTAGGCGGAAGTGGGAAGAGCACTCGGGGGCAAGTGTTGTGGGAGGAAGATGTAGTGAAGATGGCGGAGCGGGAGAACGAATGATTCGATGATTTCCAAAAGTCGAGATGGACTAGGGTTCGATGCGGAGATTTCCGCCCATCTGCCCGCTAACGTGCATCGTCAACCATACCGCTGAACTGCTTATCAGATCTTCTTCTGTGTGGATCGGGAGCTTACTGATACGTTGATCTGAGAGGGCAGCAAAATCCAGTATGAGCAGTGCAGGCCAAAGATTGCTTCTTTCCTTGCAATGTCCTTGATCTGAGCGCAAACACACGCCATGATCCAACGTGCCCGCCTTCAATTAACACCACTCTTCCGACATCTTAGCATTAGAGAGTCTCCTTAACACCATCAAGTAGTGCAGTCGCGCTGTTGTCGCAGACATGGCAGAAAACGTCAATCAGAACCTGGATCTGGCACAAATTTTGGCTACGCTTGCGAACCTGCCCAAACCGGAAGCTCAGCCAGTTCAAGATCAACAACAGCCATATGAGCCCTACCAAAGTCACCAGGGGTACCCGGAGCCCCAACAGGCATACAAAAATCAGCAAAGTGCTCCGTATCAACAATCAGCTGACCCTCGTCTGGCTGGTCGCGCGCCTCCTCAACATCGACAACCACCTCCCATACCACAAGACAGCGTTTCTTCTCCGTTCATCGATCCTTCTACCATCACGGAATGGAAACAAGGTCTCCGCTGTGTGAGCAAGATAGCTTCCCAGAACCCAGACTTTGCTCCTGCAGTTCGCAAAGTAAGCCAGACCATCATGTGACCTCATGCGCAATGCTTACAAATTGCTCAGTTGATGAAAGATCAAGAGTCAAATGTCAGGTCTTGGGAGGCTGGACGCAAGAATCTGATTGATGAACATAAGTTCAAGCGGGAGAACGAACGCACTCATCGAGCTGCGCTGTACGTTACAAGATCTTTCTCATGGTACATGACTAACGTTCACAGGTCATTACCAGGTCTCCTGGAAAACACGCCGGCGCTTCGTGTATGTTCAGGAACACTTATGCTGATGAATGATCATTGATGCGGCACAGACACCAGAGCGTGAGAAAGAAGAACTAGACCAATACGACGCAAAGGTATATCGAGCTTCTAAAGCTATGGTCGACTCACAAACATCATCACTCAAAGTCTTGGGTGTTCCATTCTTTGGTGTAAAGCCACATCTGGTAGTTGGCTCTAGCTACGACCCGACAGAAGTCACCGACTCGCAGCCGACACCGGCGGGCGGTAAGATAACAAAAGAGCAGCTCCTCGAATTACAGCGGAAGATGCTGAACCACTTAATGGAGCTGTACGGGGACTGAGGAGACCTCTTTACAGAATGGAGAAGCTTCGTTGCCACAGAACGATCTGTATTCTACCAGTGCTGATTGTGGGTGGTTACCGGGCTTCGGACTTAGCTTTCTGATCCTAGACCAAAACGTTCTGTTCCCTCACTGTGTCCGTCCATTCACCACCCCAAACAGCCTCTAGCTGTGAACTTCTCTTTGAAGCGACATTGGCACGGAAATGACGTCACTTGCGCGATGTTACCAGCAACAGTGGAGAACAGAGCAAGCGCGCGAGTGCAAACGCACACCAATCTCCCATTCACTCGTCCCAGTAATTGCCCTCGACGCTATTGGCTGCTCAAGGGCCAATGGAGCTAGTGCCGTTGACCGCAATCGCTCTCATAACAACAAAACATTTACCTCTTTTGCAATCATCAGCTTCCACTCACCTCACCACGCTCGTTGAAGTATTTGATCCATTCCACACTCTTTTCGCTACTCACACTCGCTACTTCCCTCTACCCACTTCAACCCCAGTCGCTCCTTCCGATACAAACGTTCACCATCCAAGATGAACACTGTACGCGCACTCACCATGGTCGCAGTTGCTGGTAAACAGTCTCCAACCAGCGCACTTACCCACTATATCAGTCTTGCTAACGGAAATATAGCAGGCGCTGCCGCAGAGTCTGCCCAATGGAATCCCGCTATCAACCACGTCCTCGCTCATGCTGTAGCTGCACGTGACGACCACTGCGCCGAGCTCCCAAAGCTCTGCACAGATGCAGTACTGCTACGTGGCTATGAGACTACCCTCACCTATCTGTGTCCCGAGAAGACCGAAGGTCCGTCTACTGTCACCGTCACTACCACCAGGACAACCACTGTGACGGGTGATCAGAGCCTGACCTCTAGCGTTGCTCCCGCTCCCGCTCCTACCTCGGACGTCGGAACTGCTCCTTCAGCACAGCCTCTACCCCACAAACCCGTCTCAGCCACTTCGGACGTTGGAGGTCCTCCCGCAGAGGAGCCCACTACCACCGTGATCATCCAGTCAACCGTCCAAGTTACCATCACTAGATCAGTCATCAAGGTCACTCCCAGCTCTACGTCTTCGTCGCTTCCTCCCCCGTCCATCACTTGGTCTTTCACCGCGGTCCTCCCTACCGATGTCAAATCCTCTCATGTCTCGGGCGGATCGTCGTCGGCGTCTCGCACTGAGGTACCATCGATAGTGTCGTCCGTCGGTCCGCCATCATCTAGCAAGAGCAGATCGGTTGGATTGTTTCCTAGCCATACTGTTAGTAGCTCGTCTTCGGTGGCTTCCACGTCTCGGTCAGCTTCCGCGTCTTCGGCGGCTTCCTCGTCTGCGTTGGATTCCACATCTTCGGCTGCTTCGACGTCTTCGATGGCGCGTTTACCGTCAGGTGGTCATCATGCTCCACCTTTCGCGAACGGTACCGCTATCAGCTACACCCCCGGCATCTTCCCCACGCTGAACGCAAGGGATGAACAGTCCACGACGACTGTCTACTCTACGACTGTCTACTCTACGGTTACCCGCCATGTCTCTGATCATGCCTCGGATACTACTCATGCCTCAGATACCACAACTGCTGCGGCCATTGAGACTAAGAAGGGTCAGGCTGGAGATAATAGGGCCTCGTTCATTGCTTTGTTCTTTGGTGTACTGGCTGCTACCTGGCTTATCTAAGGAGGCGTAGCTACTCCTTTTGGAAAGCGGTATGGTTTATCAGTACGGAAACTCTCAAACACATGTGCGACGGTGTTACGATGCAGTGTGTCGAGTATTTTCACGAATGACACGATATGTACATAATCATGGCAGCACATCAAGTCAGGAAAAGACTGATCACCTTGGAGCCTGCATTACCAAAAGGTCTTTCTAGTTCACTTACTTTATCTGAGTGTAGTCTGCAGACCTGTTCACGATGTTCTTGCATGAAGTGGCGGTGTGACAGCCCTCTGAATTATATAGAGATAGCACAGGGAAATGAATGCTTCTTGAATTACAAGTGACATAGACCAGCATGAGCTCGGCGATGGCTGCAGCGACTTCAAACAGCGAGCTCTCCGGCAGCTTGCACAAGGAAGTGATCAAGCCGTGAAGTGACTTGCTCCAATGTGGGAGCATCTTCTCCAACTATCTGCTGTGCACCGACAGAAATACGCCAAGGGCGATTGCGTGCCTCCGACTCCAATTCATCGAGCTCTTCTAAAGCTTCAATGAATTCTGCTCTCCTCAGTTCGAAGGCTTCGCCGTCAAATGCCCCCGAACTCCATCCGCAATCTTGGTAGATCTTTTGCCAGACTCGGAAACGATTGATTCTCCGTCGCCACCCATCAGCACCATCTGAGCCATGGTGCTGTCTCATATACTGAATCGCGGCGGTCGTCTCAGTAGGAAGACGAATGCCTCCCGGGAAGAGGTTCTGCATAATGATAGGATCTTCCAAGACCTTGCGCGCGGGTGGATGGGAAGGATCGTCATCCTCTGAGGGGTCATAGTACGGAACCCATTCCAGGCTTTGAAACTTTGCAATAATCTCATCAAGCACAGTCTCAGCTGGTCGTCTAGGTGCTTTCTCCCATTCGTTGCGGTCAGGTCCAACTGAAGACCACTCAATTATTGTTTCTGTAGTCTGTGAACGCTAAACCTATCTGCTCGAAAGCAATTGACATACTGTCCTGAGTGTCATAGATCAAGTCAGTACCGTAATGCCCGCTATAGGTATCACCACTTGTCAACCTCAACATGTGAGGTGGCAGCAGCTTGGTATTCTCGTCGTGGTACCTTTCACCCCACCGCAAATCCTCGACGAAATCTGGGTTACCGGGGTTGTCGAAGTACGTTACGGCTTTTGAGCGGGGGATCAATTCAACGCCGAACCACTGCCACCCTTCGACGATTTCGCTGCGCATTGCAGGGATTGATCTAATCAGGTTGATAACCTCAGAATCCAGGCCAATCTTCTCGAAGATTGAAGTTGCGACGGTTTCGGAAGAGTGAGGTGGGCGAATGATATCAGATGGAGATATGTAACGCATCGCGACGAAGAGATCGAGGAGCTTCGTCAGGCGGGAGATGAAGCCCGCGTGCTTCTCAGCGATGGCCTCCATTGCCGCGAGTGTTGTGGGAATGATGACGAGCTGGTGGAAGTGATGTATGGTTCTAAGGGCCAGGGGTCGTGCGCGTACCTAGGTAGCTTCGCGATCCAATCACCAGACGCGCGACCGCGACGAACAACCTCCGGCTAGCCTTCACCACCACTCAGACGAGCGGCATCGCCAACGAACCTCTCCCCAGCTACACCCACGGTCGAATTTCGCTACTGTACGACCCTAACACGACTCTTTTAGCATATACTGGTGTGCGCGCACCAGAGCCATCTCGCCGACACGACGGCATTGATCGCCTTCGAGATTCAGACACCGCCTACGCTCACTCAACCCTGCGAAGGCTACCGCGACTTCACGATCCTCTCAATTGCCAGACGCATCTGAACAAATCGGCAAGATGGTCGGAAAGAAATCGGGCAGAGCCCAATTGAGGGAAGAGGGTACGGCATCGGGATACTACAGCGCAAACATGGCAACTAACAAGCCTGCAGGTCTGGAGCGAACGGACAACAATATGGATCTTACGACATGGCCCCAGGTCGGCATGATCAACCAAAAGAACTACTACACCGAGTTCCTCAAGCGCGACGAACAGTTCCTCGCCGTACGATACCCCAAGGATGAAGAGAGGGCGCGCATAGTACAGGAAGCCAGGGATAAGGATCGCGCACGCGCGTTGGGTGTACCGGCAACGGAAGGAGCGACACCACAGGTTGCGGACGAGACAATGGAAGATGCCGAGGTCTCCTTCGCATCAAGAACCGACATCTCCAAGCTCATCGTGATACATCCTGGCAGCCAGAACTTGAGGATAGGCCTTGGATCGGACGCACTCCCGAAAACTGTGCCTATGGTCATCGCGCGCAAATGGAAGGAGAGTGAGGACGAGGAGGATGAGGGAGAGCCTAGCCCCAAGCGGATGAAGGTCGAAGGTGCCGTGCCCGCCGATGCGCTGCCTGAGAAGTGGTTCGGAGAGGATGTGAGTATTTGGGTGTTAATTGCACGGACGATGCTAACTTGTGACCAGTTTGCCGATCAGTACATGGCCATGTCATCCGAACTTAGGACGAGGATGCGTTCCAATAAGCGACGAGTGCTACCCAACTCGAAAGACCTCGTAATCAACTTCAACCGAAAATCCCCCCCAGACATCATCTCCGAACACAATGACATCAACCGCATCGAGTGGACAGAACTACCTGCAGATCCCAAGAAGGCACCGGACTTCTTCACTGGGCACGATGCGCTGCGGATACCCGAGAGATCCAACCCACGATACAAGCTGTTCTGGCCGATACGGAACGGCACGTTCAATGAGAAGGACTATCGCGACCGTAATCAGATCTACCATGATCTCTCCAAGATATTAGAAGAGGCTTTCCGGAATCAACTTGGTATTACCAGGTTAAAAGACCTTGTCAACTACAAGTGCGTCTTTATCATACCAGACCTCTACGAACGACAATACGTCACAATGATATTGGACATCCTCATGCGGGATCTTGGCCTTGGAAAGGTCTGCCTGCAGCAAGAGTCGCTTTCGGCTACATTCGGTGCTGGCTATGGTGTTGCCTGCGTAGTCGATATCGGTGCTCAGAAGACATCGATCTGTTGCGTTGACGAGGGCCTTTGTGCCGAGGAGTCCCGTGTCAACCTCAAGATGGGCGGAGCTGATGTGACGGAAACGTTCATCAAGATGATGCTTTACGGGCATTTCCCGTATGCCGACATGAACCTGAAGCGGAGATACGACTTCCTGCTTGCTGAGGAACTGAAGCAGAAGTTCTGCTCTATGGATGAGGGCTCGGTCACGGTACAAACGTGGGACTTTCATCTTCGCGCTTCGGGCCAAGACACGCGGAAGTACACCTTCAAGACGTACGACGAGACTATGCTTTCTGTCATGGTGAGTAACTCAACAATTATGTAAGATGGACTTTGCTAACGAATTCAGGGTTTCTTCAAGCCTTCCATCTTCGAGAATGCCCGGAAACTAGAAAACAGGAGAAAGGTCGTGCCTCGCTCAGTCGACCTCTACGACGGCTCACCCAACGACCCCATCTCGCAAGCACAAATCGCCATCATCGAAGCCGCCGCCGGTAAACCCGTGGTGCCCACCATCAACGGCGCCTCGGACGCCGTAAACAACACAGCACCCGCCTCAACCCCCCAACGCCCACAGCCAAACCCCTTCAACCTCCTCGGCCGCCTCAACGACAACGAAGGCACACCGCGCTCTTCCGTCGCCGGCTCACCCGGCCCCGAAGGCAGCAACACGCCCAACCCCGACCGCGACACCCCCATGGGCGACACAGACGGCGCCCCCCTCCTCTTCCGCGACCCTATCCACGAAAAGACCAAGCTAGCCGAAGCCCGCGACGCCATCCTCCCCATCCACTCGCTCGACGCCGCGATCCTAGAATCCCTCTCCCAAGGCGCCCGCGGCGACGACCGCAAACTACGCGACTTCTTCGGCGGCATCATGCTCGTTGGCGGCGCGTCCAAAACACCCGGTCTACGCGAGTTTCTCGAGATGCGACTCCGTGAGTTGCGTCCCGGGTACGGTAAAGAGATTCTTGTGGGGCCGCCGCCGCGTGACTTTGATCCGCAGGTTGTGGCGTGGAAAGGGGGTAGTGTGTTTGGGCGGTTGAGTGGGCATGGCAATGATGGCTGGATTAGTCGGTATGAGTATGATATGTTGGGGGCGAGGCTGTTGAATAATAAGTGCATGTTTGCTTGGTAGGATGGAGTGAACAGGGATGGTGTGGATAGGTCTCGCAAGGAAGGTCGAGATGTTTGATCTGTTGGAGGGTGGGTGTAGATGGGCGGGATATTGGGTATTGTTAGAGCGTCATGGGGTTGGTGTGGGATGGTGGGAGTAGACATTCGTTAAGGGCGCATCCTGTTGGGTTCAACGAGGGTGGTATTTCTTGTCGAATAACAATGTGTTACGAATACAGCTTCCTCGATACTCTGCTTATGGTCATGTTTACCAAGTCAATACAGCGTTGTTTCTGATTAGGTAGACATAGCTTGTAAATCGTATGTATTCCGTCTCGTATTGCATACTAATGTCATAACAGATGAGAAGCAGACCGCTTCACCGTGGGACTACCACATCTTGCTCTCTTCGTTTCACCATCATAGCCGATACCCAGTCCTGATCCTGCACTACGCATATCACTCAGAACCCCTCAGGCTTCGGAAGCCAGCAGCTTACGACGACACCTCGGCAGACTCGCAGACCTTCTTGTGGATCTTCCAGTGCTTCTTCTGGCAAGCGACTGAGCAGTACTTGCGGTTCAAGCACTTGGAGCAAGTGAGCAGGTTCTTGCCCTTCGGTCTATGCTCTACGCCACAGCCACCACACTCATCCGGCGTGTTGAACTGGGCGCGAAGTTCCTTGACGACCAGCGAGGAAGAGCAGTTCATCCTGATAGGGCCGAAGAGAAGCGGGTCCGGAACATTCAAGCCTCGGTAACCAAGTCCATTGTCGGGCTCTCCAGGCTCAGAGTTGGCCACCTCCAAGAGGGACTTTGACTCGAAGTCGTAAGGTACTCCGTTCTTGAAGCCGTTTGGACCGAATAGAGCCTTATGCATCTGGCGCTGAGCGTCGGGCTTGAGGCCGCCTTCGGTGTAGACCTTCTTGAGCATGACGAGGAATGAGGCAGGGAGTTGGCATCCGTGTGTCATGGCACAGGCACCGAGCATGACGTACATGTAGCAGGGGTCGGAGAACAAGTGCTCACACTGCTCATTCAATGATCCAGTGAGTGGGGCTAGAATCTTCGCCTCCCTCTCAGCGATCATCTTGATAAGATTGCCGGAATCGAGCCACTTGCGGACCACTTCTTTGTCTGAGCAACCACCGGCATGGATGCTATAGTAAACAGCGTGATCTGCTTCCTCCTCGGTCTTGCCTTGGGCTCGGAGGGCAGCCTTAGCTTCATCCTCGAGTTTGCTGAGTCCAGCGAAGTGTCCCATATCGCTGATGTTGTCAAAGTCCTGGTCCGACTGGAAGAGACCTGGCGTTGTGTTAGTCGATAAGATCATCTACATGTAGCATGTTTGATACTCACCGTATCCCCAATGACCCATCTTGAGAACGTTGTGCTTTTGGGTATGGTAGGTTGTGAATAGGTTGACTGAGGTAGCGGTGCTCACTACTGCGTATGACAGTTGACAGTGTTGATCTTTGCTATGGGAGGTGAGTGATGAAGTGAAGACGAGCGAACGCGTATTGAGATCAGAAGAGGGTACGCGTCGCGTCACACGTCATGAGGGAGGCCAGGCTGCAATGTTGGCTGTGGAGGAAGGAGCGAGGACGCGTGTTCCCGTGACCCAGGCGCCTTCCTCACGCGTTGCCATCGCGCCCTCGAATAGCGGCATGGACCACGTTCTGATTGCGTCTCGCTCATCATCTCTATGATAATACTGTCAGCCTTGTCAACTGCCACTGGATTGTGAAAATTTCTGGCACGTTCCAGATGGACTCACTTTGCTCGTTTTCACCGAGGAACCACGCGCTGAATGACTGAAGATCAAAATGTAATATTAACTATTGATTAAACAAGATAACCCAAAACATCTATGCATACGAAGGAGAAAGAAACAAATCGCTCAAAAACATACAACTACTACTATTCGAAACACTCAAGCAGTACCAGCATCCTTCTCCCCACTCCTCTCACCAGGGTGTCCACCCTGCTGTGCCGCCTTCTCAGCACCCTCTTGTGCCTTATCCGCCGTACCCTTCGCCTTCGCGCCCTTCTTGTTCTTATGGAAGAAGCTCTTAAACGAGCTAAGCTTGGCAACGCGGAAGAGGTAGTAAGTGAGAATAGCAATACCGGCGTTGAACCCGATGAAAGCAAAAATGATGCCAAAGTTCCTCCACCTTTCGCCGTAGTAAATCGAGGAACCAGCCAAGAACTGGTCCGCGTTGGTGAGGGAACAGTAGTTGCAGCCAGCAGTCGCGTCTGGGTTCTGGATGGTGCCACCGG